TAATTAATAGGTTCTGGGACCTAAATAAGGTTCCTAATCATGTAATATTCGTAATGAAAGTGTAATTATTCATTAGATTAAAATAGGATATGCTGGTTTGCAGTTTGTGCAGCTACAAAGGCAGGTATGAATCTCATTACAAATATCATTTTTATTATTTCAGGAACATTTTTTTGCTTCAAATATGTTTATTTTTTGAGCAAATCATCCAACATATATAATTCAACAGCACATGTTAACTCTTGATCATTAAAGGTAACTTATAAAACCTTAGTTTCAAATAACCCCATGTTTTGGATGCTTCTTGTGGCACTCGTTGTTTTTCCCAATTTTTTAGAATAAACATAACCTGCAAAAAGAAATTGCCCATCACTAATTAACAGATCTTCACAACACTTTTGTAGCTTATTAGTTTTGGCAACGGAAAAATTATATACATGAAAGATGTATAACATTTGAAATCATAAAAATACACTCATATCTTACATGTCTTTTTATTTTTGACTTGCATTCTAACCCGTGGCATTTTCATCTCTCTCTGTAAATATATTTAAATATAATTATTAACATTAGATGAACACTACCAGTTTGGCATATTGAGATATGTTATACCTCTTCATCACATCCCCGTTAATATTAGTGATCAATGTCTTTGATCAAAAATCACATTTCTCTTTAGGTTGATGAACCTGCCATAGATCAAGTAGTAGTAGTAATTGGTTGTGAAATGTTTGGTGGTGGTGTGGTTTGCAACCAATATTGAGGGTATTTATAGTGGCAAAATAGAGTGTCTTCTAAGATCAAATTGGTTTTTATCCAATGGTCCATTGTACCAAAATCTTTATAAAAGATTTTGTAGTACAATCATTAAATGAGTTGAACATCCACCAACATTTTCAACCAATAAGCAAATTGTAGTATAGTCATTAAATGAGCTTTGGTTACACATTTCCTTTTAATCTATCCATGGGATATTGAAAAGACATTCAAGGATTTTGTAGTACAACCTAATTAATTCGATATGACACAGACCATTTTTAAAATTAAAGTTGGTTCTCTCTTTATCATAGTGATTCGTGCAGCCAACATTAGATGTCCTTTTTATTGAGCCTCACAATGCTTTATTGGTTATTGGGCAATGCATTTAATGTTAATCTATTATTGGCCTCATAATAAGACAACATTGTAGTTTACATATCCTTTTTATGGAGCCTCACAAATTACTTTATTGGTTGATGGACTTTGCATTTAATGCTCTAAAATTTTATTGAGCCTCATAATTTCAGTTTACAAACCCAATGTAAGTGACCCATATCTGAAAATCCGACTCGCCTCCCTGTAGACCCGGCTCGACCCGTGAGTGTGATGTTTTTGAGCGGAAACACTGTTCATGGTTACTGTTCACATTTTATCCTCCTTTTGTATAATAGAAGATTAGTGGATCATATTAAAGACCCAAACCCAAATAAATGAGATACTTAGCAATAACCCGGCCTCTAACCCGAGTCAAGTGATTTGGCCGAAAAGTACCGCCCACCCACCCCAATCTTCCTAATGTGAAGCCCTATAGACTATAGAGTACTTCACCTATGGGGCATTGCACGTGTGATTTTCTTTTCTAGGTTTTCTTCTAATTAAATTAGCCTCTATATCTTCTAGACTATATGATTAGCCTGCAAAATTGTCAACATATAATAAGTTCACATACTATATTAGTAAATATAGTATTCAAAATATTAAAAGTTGCACTATTCACACACCTTACTTTGACCACGATTTTCTATTAATATATAAAATCAAAATATTATGTATAAAATGTCATTAAATTTCTATTGATGTGAATTTTCAAAATATTAGTTTTTATAATTTTTACTAATAAGTAATTAGATATAATTAAAGTCAAAGTTGCGTGTTGACAAACATGAAAGTCAAACTGTTGCAACTATTAAAGAATGGAGGAAGTACGTTTTTTAGAGTTACATACTTCTAAAGTTAGGACAACAAAAAATGCCTAAATATATACGAAGTACCTCCTATCTCTTCACTTTTAGACTTTTATACTTTTACTCTTTTAGTTGCTTATATAGATTTTTCATTAGTAGTACGATAATATTATTATTAAGTATTAACTATATATTAGGAACTTAGGAAGTATTCCCTCCGTCCCATAAAATTCTTCCAACTTTCCTTTTGGGTCATCCCAAAAAATTCTTCTCACTTATCATTTTTGGACAATTTGTTTGGTTTACATTCATTTCACTTTTTTCTTACAGAACCACAACCATACATTTCCACTTTCTTAAACTCCGTGCCAAGTCAAAGTGAGAAGAATTTTATGGGACGGAGGTAGTATAATTCTTAGTATATGAGTAAAGTTACATACAGTGTTCATTATTCTTGACCATTAACCGTTTTTTAATTGTTGAGGACTTTAAGCATTGAACAAATATAAATTGTTTAGATCAGAGTAGTGAGGCACGATTAGATCAAACTTAAAAAATGACAAAATAAACTTAAAACAAATACCCCCTCCGTTTCTGAAACAAGTTCCACATTTGACTTCACACATACTAAGAAAATAAATTAGACTTTACTGTGTAGTGCACTGTTTGACACTGTTTGAACATTGTTTGACACTGTTTTAATGTAGATAATTTGCCAAATAATGAAATGTTTGAAAATGGAACTTAATTTTAAATCTTCCCGAAAAGGAAAGGTGGAACTTGTTTCAGAAACGGAGGGAGTATTTATCAATCTACATCGTTCACAACACATCAGGTCAAATTAGGAAACTTATATCCTAGTTTCATACTCTCTCCGTCCCTTAATTAACTTTACATTCAACATTTCACGGTCTCCAACGTTGATGTTTGATCATTAATATGTAAAAATATACACTTATGAACCAACATTTCAATAATATACAGGAAAATGAAGAATTCAAAATTATTTTGATATTACTCCGTATAAAATAATACGATTTTGGTGTAATTAACGATCAAAGTTTACAAAGTTTGACCCAAAAAGTCAAAGTGTTAACTTAAATACGAGGGCGGAGGGAGTAATTTTTTAGGCATGGCTTAATCGTTTTGCAATTTATTTTAATTTTCATATGTTTAATCACCTTTGATATATATTTTTCATCTATTTTACTAGTTCCAATCTAGTGCTAGGTCATATATGTATGGACCTTAACGCGCGCGCAATTATAAATCCAAATACTTATATATGTCTATTAATCTATCTAGGGAATTGTTATTTTTATTTTCTCACACATATCTCTTTAGGTCGAATCCCCAACCTCAAGCGGCCCACATCCCGACCTGATGTTCTGGGAGCTGAGGGTGTAAATCACGGTGACTCAATCAATCTTAACGGTGATAGATCTTATACTCGTGCGCACCAGAAACCTACACGGTCTTACACACCTCTTTATTCAGATTCAATTATCCCCTCTTTTAATTTTGCCTTTTGGTTAGACCTCCGTTGATCAAGAAATGGATCGAGGATTCGAGGTCATTGAATTGAGATTCTCTTATAAGACCGGGCTTATACTTGATGTAATAACATATTTTTCAAAAAAAAAATTGGAAAAATTCCACTAGTATAACTGTGGGAAAAGTGGTGGAAGAGAATGTGACTTAGTAACTACTTCTTATTAGAGACTATAGTTGTGTTTGTAGTGATTACATGATAGTTACTATGATGGAAACTTAATTATATTTGGACAATAATATTTACTGAGTCACATTTTGTCCATAACCTTTTTATTACTGATGTTTTAACAAAAACTTCTAAATTTTAACACATAAATTTTTAAATTAAAAATACAAGCACTTTTTAAAATCAAATCTAGAGTGTCTATTGATCGAGGCTCCCTACCCTACCAGTTGGGTCGAAAAATTTTAAGGGCCTCTTGAAAATGATGTAATAATAAGGAGTATTTCTGTTGAAGTATTGTAATATACTCAGTAAAAAATTTTGAACAATGTATGTACATAAGATTTACAAACACAATACTTAAATTAATATGAGAAAACAAGTTCTAATAACTAATTAAATATTACACATAAGTTCTTTTACGCTTTTAGCGGCATACATACATACACTACAATGTACAAGTGTATTAGTATATATTGAAGCTAAGGCGTTGAGTAATTAATTAGTTTCGAACAAATAGTATAGTTCAATTTAGGATTAATGAACAAAATGTTGAATCTTTTTACCTGTTGAGACATATGAACGATACCAGAAGCAAAAAAATAATCTAATTGGTTAGTTATCAGTCACAACAATAGGAAATAAATTAATCTAATTGGTTACTCATTTGTCTTAAAACATGAGATAAAGTTTAATAATAATTATAAAATTAGTAAACTAAATGTGTACACTTGATTTTGTATATATATATACAACTTTCAATTAAAACTAACAAATAATCTAAAACAAGTCAATGATAAATAATAGGGAAAGTTAGAGAAAGTTCCTGAAATAGGACTAAAACAGTTTGAAAATTCCAAAATAGGATTGTCATGATTTTTATTCCAGGACTAATTGCTGTCATATTTAGAAAATACTGATATGTTTGAAGTTTGATACTGCCAAAACATGACAGTAATTAGTCTTATTTTGGGAATAAAAACATGTCAATCATATTTTGGAATTTTCAAACTATTTTAGTCCTATTTCCGGTAATATTCTCTAAATAATATTACGACAATTGCTATATCCAAAAATCGGCATATTGTTGTTGAGAAATGTTGATAATAAATTATATTTTATATAAGAAAAACAATAAGCTAGATATGAAAAGGAGTGAAATTTTATTTAAGGGCACCAAACATATATAAATGTATATACCTATAAATTTTGTGCCCAAATTATTCTAATTTTTTGGGCCCCAAATTTTTCTAATTTTTTGGGGCCGAGTGAATGGCCTCACTGGCCTTTAGGGAGGCACGGCCCTCATACATCGATCTCTATATATAGGAGCTGAATGTTACTGGAACTCTGGAAGCTAAGAAAACACACCTTAATTACGTATTTATCTCAACAATCAATTACAATTAGCCTTCCAAAAAAACAATTAATTAGCTTATTAATAGCATGGCAGCAGAAAAGGCAACGACATTATCCAAAGTGGTCGCGGGGATCATCTTGCTGCTCCTTGCGGTGCTTTGTACCGGCACCATTGGTGAGGCGGCAGCCATCTCGGGAAGCGAAGAATCGATGACGGTTTCTACCACCGCTGTGAAGACACCGTCTGCGACGGTGGCATCAAGCGGTGGTGGTGGTGGCGGCGACGAAGGTCGAGTGCTGAGCAGAAGATGGCTGCAGGAGCAGGGTAGTAGGTGTACCTTTAAATGCATGACGAGGTGTCAATGTCTGAGCTGTGACTGCCCTGAGACACCAATTACCCCGTAACACATTATTGCATAGCTACGTATATGCGCATTGAGGAGGGCTCCACAATAAACTACCCTGATGATGATAATAATAATAATAATAATAATAATAATAATAATAATAATAATAACATTAATAATAATAACAACAATATTATGATATTGTAGTAATAATAACAACAATAATTGCGGAGGGATTGAGTTAAAAGACTAATATCTAATATCTTAATGTTAATTGTGATACTATAAATTGTTTAAAATAGGGGGGAAAAGGTAGTATGTAGTAGTAAAAAATATGTTTGTAGTAGTTAATATGTTTATTATCAAACTAGTTTAGTAACGCGCGATGCACGTTCGTGTAACTGCCCAAGACCAATGCACAAGACCATTGTAGGCATATTAATTGATAGTCGAGTTAGGTTGAGTGAATACGTGAGTAGTACGAGTAAACTATTTGTATACTTTGTTTGTTGGAAATCGATAAGAAACCATAATGAATAAAATCTTTGTAGCTCCGATTGTATGTTGGAAAATAAAGCAACCAAAATGATTATAATAACCATAATATTAACATATCTTATAAAGGCCAGTTTTAGTATTAAATGCTCATGGTTTGTCATGGTTAGGCTTTAAAGTGTAGTAACGTATGCTATCATATTGTCCCGTATGAACTATTTTTCAAATTGCCGACCTCACCATCCAATTTTATCGTTAACAGTGTTAAATTCATTTGGCGATGGTTACTTGTGTTTAAGGATGCTTACTCCACATACGATATGAAATCGGTATATCCGCTATGTGTTATCATTTTTGTATCAACTCTTTAGTTTCAACAACTTTTAATTTTTCAGCGTATCTCTCGTGTCGAGTGTTTTCTTGGTTTGAATCCATTTTTTATTTTCCAACCAAATCATCACAGGATACCCACATCTCTGTTCGACAATGGACAAGATGTACCCTCTTATCAATTTAATTTTATATTCAGATTTTAACTTTTCACATATTCAAATACATAATGGGATTTAAAGTTCCCTTATCCCCTTCTCACGATCATGATCATCAATATCTAAGTTGTACTATTCTCTTCCCAATTGTTAATGAGTTCACGTTGCATTTTAACTATTTCATGTTTTTTTTTAAAATTGTAATGCTTGTGTTCTACAAATGTTATCTCGATTATTGATAGATGATCTGAAATTGACTAGCTAATGCAATAATCCGAAGCTCATTAATGTGATCTCGAGTATGATTAAATGATCTGAACAAGCTCATATGAAAAGAAATGGAATGCACAATAGGTGTTTGATAATATGTGAAGCTTATTTCATTGTACTTACTCTCACATGCTAACACACATATCAGTTTTTTTTCTTACATATTGATTTCCACTTAGTCTTAGAATTGTCCCCATTATTTCATTCAAAAAAGAAAGAATTGTCCCCATTCATTTTGAACTTAACTTAGTGTCATTTCAAACAACTAAGAAACAACATAAATCTTTTTTAAATATGGTCCGTTTGTGTGTTAGTTCATTGTAAGTGCGCCATCTAAATTCAAAAGCAAACATCTCATTAAAATGTTTATGCATATAGAAATGAAATGATACGAATCTTCTCTGATCTGTAGAGTGTAACTGGGATGAATAAAAATAGCTTAAAAAATAGAATTAGTGAACTTGTGTGGAATATGTTATTTTTGTGCACTCGTTTCTTTTGACTTTGCACTTTCCTATTTTTCTCCAACATTTCATGTTTAGTTTTTTTAGTGTAGTGATCCCCCTGATATATTATTTATTCTACCGAATACGTTTTATTACATGATGACTACCTTGAGTTTATCATACATTATTACTATATATGGAAAAAATAGTTTACATCTCGAGTAGCCGCTTATTTATGTATTATTATCAATTCGAGAAGTTAGTGATTGACAGTTTTGTTTTAATTAAAATGTTGTTCCCACCTTCTCAATGTAGTATGTCACTGACACTAATATTCATTAAAACATAGAAACTATATTTTTTTGATTTTACTGTAGCAACTATGAATTATCTCACGTTGAACCAACTATGAATTTCTTTGAAGCAAGTATGGTGATTTATCTTGTTTAGATTCAATTAAACCAACTATGAATTTCTTTTTCTCCGCTTGACCTATTCTCTCACGTTGAATCCCCTACGTACAACTTCTATCAAACTACGACTATTATCATGAGGTATTTCATATTTGCATTGTCTTTGCGGAGTTTTGCGTTGTACTTTGAAGAAAACAATGTTTTTGTCCTTTGCCCCGTGAGCCTCCAACAAAACAAACACTCCGACATTGAAAAAGAAATTCAACATCATTCGAGTGACACAAGCAAACATAGATTTAACACTGACCCAGGTAGAGAAAGATGAAAAGGCAAGGTCATAGGGATTGAAATTTATACAAATCATGCGAGCAGATTCAATGCATTTTCTATATTCAATTAAATAAATAAAACATCTACTTCTTATTAAATTAAATAAAAATTGTGTCTTTGGCAAGATGCATCATCTTTATTATCAATATATTCAAGTAATTGTATACATTATGAAGCATTATACAAAATTCAAAGTACATATTGGGCATATAACATTCGCGCAACGCGCGACCAATTTTCTAGTAATAGGATAAGATTCATTGAAGTTCATTTACAATACTATTGCAAAAAAAAGACAAATATCAAAAGTATTTCAGACAAAATTTCCTAATTTTTATTCTTTGAAGTTCATTAGCACGTGTGGCTACTGGCTACTATATAATTTACCAAACAAATTTACCTCTCCTATTCCTGTAATAAAATGTAAGCAAAATAGACATGTTTTTTGCAGGAAAATGTTGAGTATAATCAAAGATCAATATTCAACAGATTGTAAACAGGAGAAATGAGATGAATATGACCACAGTGGCCTGGAAAGTTAAAATAGAGCATTGACCAAATGACTTACACCTATAAGTATAGTGGTTTAAAATTTAAAAGCGTACGTGAACGTGATTCTAGAAAACAAAAGTTAATGTGCCGGTATTCTAGGAAACAACACGATCAACGAAAATAAAATATGGTAATTTAGGAATGAATTGAATTTAAATGTAAAGGAAATATTTAATTAATTAGGAGAGAATGAAGAGCTTACAAAGGGATGCCAAAAATTCCAAAACCTGTTCAATACAAGGTGACAAATATTAATTTATAGGTGGATCCGTTCACAAAAATTGTTGCGTGCCAGATTTTCTTGAACGGAAAAAGAAGAAGAGGGAGGGGGCGCACATGACTGAGAGGAAGGGAATGTTTAAACCGAATTGATTTTATGATGTTCCAGAATTCTGAAGTGAAGGAGCAAGCCTTCTGCCTAGTAGAACACCCAATTTGCCTAATTGAAGAAAAGGCTTTAAGCACCTGGGTCGTGAGTTCTGAATCTACACGCGTTCTCAGAGCCATCTCCTCACAGTGTAGTTGTCGGTCCATGGTCGTTGTTCCTTGCTTTTAGGGAAATCTCATTGCACAGTTTGTGCCCCCTCGCGCTTTGCTCTGCTTTGTTGCTTAACACACGGTCGATTGAAGCTCCATAGCTTGTCAGATAACCTCCCTTCTAGATGACGATTTCAGTCATTGAATTGGCGACGGAAACCAGCGAGTTGTTCGGTGGTTCCCGTCGATTCCAGTCATTGAACCACCTTCGCTCTGCCCAAGTCGCCGATCTCCTCCAACGTGGATGCCGTCTCCCTGAGTACGAATTGAGCGTCCTCTTTCGAGCCGATGAAGGGTTTCATCGATCTAGCCGCACCTCTGTGCCGCCCAAGCGCTCATGCTCTCCCACAGGCAATGCTAACCCCGTTACCCGCTGCTTTGACGGAAAAGCTTAAAGATTCAACTCAATATGCCTACGGTACAATTAGCTCAGGCAGGGAGAGACATGAACACATTTTTGAAGACGATTATACCCCTAACAATATTGATGCTTGTATAATTGTATAGAGATAGAGTTTATTTAATCAAATTCCATGAATAAAGTCGATGATGACATAAATCCCATTTTGAAAGGGTTTAATACACCAAACACTCATGTGATACGGAAATTCAGCGCATTATCCCCCTGTGATTTTAAAAATGTGTTAAACCCCCTTGTGTTTTAATTAATCATGCACAAAACTCCTTTTATGAATAAATTTAACAATTTGGAAACCTTTTTTCCTAATATCCTGATTGAATATGCAAGTAAATATGTCAAAATCTCTAAATCATAAAAAATGTTAATCATTTTTCTTTTACTTGACAATTGAATTTATTCATAAAAGGGGTTCTGTGCATGATTAATTAAAACACATGGGGGTTTGACGCATTTTTTAAATCACAAGGAGTTAATGCGCCGAATTTCCATATCATAGAGGGGTTTGGTGCATTAAACCCCATTTTGAAAAGTAAACAAGTTTACTCCTATAGGAGGAAATTTGGTAACATTTACTTCCATTTAACTACTCCCTTCGTCCCGAAAAGGTTGACCAAATTTTCTTTTTTGAATGTCCCAAAAAGATTTGCCATTTTCATTTAAAGTAAGAAATATGTGGCTAAAATTGATTCTCTCTCCTCTGCACAAATTTCAACCACACAGTTTTTACTTTATTAATCCGCGTGAAAGTCAACTTTGACCAACCTTTTTGGGACGGAGGGAGCATGGCCGGTCTTACTCATTTCTGGACCTATGGGCGGTATGCTATTCTGGGCTTATACCCAAGACAAACCGTAAACCATATACTTATTTGAAATATGAATTATAATGAAAATATCCAATGAAGTTCATGAAATAAAGGCGAGAATGACTTTGTTATTATTTAAGTTACATATTTAAGCAAAAGTAACAACACGAGTACCGGATAAAAAAACAACATTACTAAAAAACGTTTGTCGTAGAACAATGTGAATCAAATCGTCAATAATCGCTTCATAGGCAACCTTCTTTTCAATAATAAATATGACAAACAATAAAATTGCTACATATAACAACACTAAACTTTCTTTTGAAAGGATAAATGAAAAAAATTACTACATATTGAATTCATAAGTTGAGATTGGTTTATTGATCACTGATGGGAGTCTAAAGTTTGAAGTCTTGAAAGAATGAAAGTTTTCAAAGAGACAAAATGTTTGACCGCCAAAAAGAAGCGCGCAAGAAGTCTGCAAATTAGACGTCCTCTAAAATTACTATTAGGAACTCATATATAGTTTATTGAAATTTGGAAACAAATGAATAATTGGGATGAGATTTGAGAGAGATAAGCTCTAAAATAATTATATAAATTTGTTATGTTATAATTAAAATGAATAAAAAACCTTAAAGGCTAAATAGACCTGAAGACTCAAGAGGCATGTCTTTTATTGATACAGAAACAACTGTATTGCTTTTACAAACTATAACTGATCCTACTTAAAAATAATGTATTTTGTTTTATAAAATTGGCCCTGTTCAAGACTTTTTATTTAGGTTTTAAATTTTCAAATTGTCAACAACTCAACATATTAAACATTAGGCCTAATTGAACTTAAGAATAAAAAAAGAAGCCTACTCACACTATATATAAAGAAAAAAAATTGGGCCTATTTTTTCTTCTACTTTTTTCGGGCCTAGGGCGGTCGCCCCTCTTGCCCCCCAGAACCGGCCCTGGGAGGGAGTATATATCTTTCTCTATCTTCATTTATTTGCTCGGTATTACTCATATATACTCTGTAATAAGGATCTTTTCTCATGCTCAGAAATAAGAGAGGCTGTATTATTACTACAATGAAATATAATCTGAAAAACTGAATTGAGCGCATTCATGTTGTTGTGAGAAGAAACGAATCGCACTTCTGCCAGGTCAATTCAAACCAAAAGCTGGTAGAAAACCTATGCCGGACCAATCCAAAATGACTGCCGGATTAATCCAACCAAAACTAGAAAAAATATCTGCCGAGCCAAGCCAAAAAAACAGCCTCCAGAACAAATCCTAGGATATTCCTAGACAACGACCGCTTTATTCCAACCCTAACTATATACCTATTGTTATATCGAGAAAGATGAAACGTGTGGGCTTACTTAGATGCGATTACTGCTGATTACATAGGAGTCGTGAGATGCAGTGGTGAGAATTCGACGGATAAAGATCTTGTTGAAATGTCAACGACTCTCAAGAATCTTCTATGATTTTCTTCATTAAGTACTCTAAAATGTGTAGAGTTCTCTAGAAACAGGTATTAAATAAGAGTTAGCTAGAAACACTCTAGAATGTAATTAATATGAGAATACTATAGAATGTAATTAATGTGGGAGGTTCTAGAAACACCCTCACCTCCTTAGCCTAATATAAATAGAGGTGGATGGACACAACTCCATCACCACCAAGAGAGTGAAGCATCCTCAGAAGTGAGAGTAAGAGAGACTCCTCATATTTGTACTCAATATTTTATATTAATAACATTGTCTTTTATTCCTCCAAGCCTCACAAGTGGTATCAGAGCCAGTGATCGGGAGCTATTGTCCGTGAAGAGTTAAGGCGACACAGAGGTACTATTAGTGCACAATCCGGGATTGTGAAGTCAATTGGTCTCGGACCAAACTTGCGTGGAATATTGGTTGTCATATATTCAAGTCACTATGGATATCTCAAATTCGGTAAGTGGCGTCGAAAAGCTTAACAATTCCAACTACAACACTTGGAGTGTTCGTATGCAATTTTATTTGCTTAGACAAGATTTGTGGGACATCATTAATAATGACAACACATCGCCACCCACCAATGCGGAGGAAATAAGGAAATGGAAGATAAAAGCGGGGAAGGCCATGTATGTTCTATCCGTAACAATTGAAGATGAGTTGTTGCAGCACATCAAAGATGCAAAAACTCTGAAGGAGGCATGGGATACTTTGGCGGCACTTTTTGCCAGGACAAATGATGAGAAGCTCCAACGGTTGGAAAATGATCTTCTCTCGGTCTCGCAACAAGATATGTCGGTGAGTCAGTATTTTAATAAAGTCAAAACAATTTGTGATGAATTATAAAAGTTAGATCCACAAAATGCCATCACCGATACAAGAAAAAGAAGAATCATAATCCATGGGTTAAGGCCAGAATATAATGGCATTATTACTGCTACCCGTGGATGGGCAAAAGAGCCAACTTTAACGGAGTTGGAGAGCTTATTAGCCAACCAAGAGGCTTTAGATAAACAAATATCTAAAGTCTCAATCAAGGAGGATGAGACCGCCTTATACAACAATAAAAGGAGTTTTGGACGAGATAGAAGAAACACAAGACCAACAAATATAAATCCAAATAATGAAGATTGGCAAAAGAGGCCACAAGGGAGCTCTCATCGAAGGGAAGCTAATAAAGCCCGTCATGATAAAAATAAGGAAGAGAAGAAGTACCGACAGGTCAACAACCAGTGCTATAATTGTGGAAAGAAAGGACACTTTGCTAGAGATTGTAGACTTCAAAGAGTTGAAGGAAATGCAGCAACATCAATGCTAAAGGAGAGCAATAGTGAAGAAGAATGGGATTTTCAAACGGCCTATGCAGTGGACGATGATCAAGAACTTGCAGCTTCTTGCATCATTGAAGAAGAGGAAGAAGAAGAAACGACTCTTGTCACGGTGAGTGATAGATTCATAAATTATGAAAATGATTGGATTGTAGATTCTGGATGTTCCAATCACGTGACAGATGATATCACCAAATTAGAAAACATCAATAAATATGAAGGACGGTGAGTTGTAGTCACTGCAAACACATCGAAGTTACCTATCACTCATGTTGGCCAAACAAATATTACTCCATGATTCAATGTTGAACAAGTGGAGCTCCAAGATGCCATGCATGTGTCAGGTATGAAGAAGAATCTACTGTCGGTGTCACAACTCACAAAATCTGGCAAGTGGCAAGTATGTGGTGTTCGGCCCAGATTATGTTAAAGTATATCATCATCTACAAGAAAATGAGGAACCGATCATGGAGGGGCGAAGAGTTGAGTCTATCTATGTGATGTCTGCGCAAACGACATATGTAGATAATAAGACAAGGAAAAACGAGACACCGGACTTGTTGCACGCACGTCTTGGACATGCGAGTTACAAACAATTAAAGGTGATGGTGAAGAAGGAAATGTTAAAGGGTCTCCCCAAACTACAAATCCACGATGATGTGATTTGTGCTGGATGTTAATATGGAAATGCTCATCAACTTCCATAAGAGGAGTCAAAGTTTAGAGCCAGAGCGCCGTTAGAGCTAATACACTCAGACGTGTTCTGGAAGGTAAAGCAACCTTCAGTTTGTGGCTTCAGGTACATGATTACATTTGTCGATGATTTTTCAAGATTCGTCTGGGTTGATTTTATGAAAGAAAAATCTGAAACCTTAAACAAGTTCAAGGTATTTAAGGAAAATGTTGAGGCAGAAGTAGGTCACAATATCAGGTGCCTACACACAGATAACGGGGGAGAATACACTTCTGAAGAATTTAACAAATTTCTAAAAGAATGTAAAATCAGAAGACAGTTCTCATGCCCAAGTTCACCTCAACAAAACGGAGTTGCAGAGAGAAAGAATAGACACTTGGCGGAGACTGTAAGAAGTATGCTACACTCGAAAAATGTACCACCACGCTTTTGGGTCGAGTGTATGAAAACAACCGCTCATGTGATTAACAGGTTGCCGCAAGCAAAGCTTGGATTCTTGTCACCATTTGAGAAATTACAAAATCTCAAGCCCACCATAAGTCACTTCAAGGTGTTTGGTTGTGTATGCTACGTATTTGTTCCTGATCACCTACGTATCAAGTTTGATAAGAAGGCAATCTGTTGCATATTTGTGGGCTATGATGATCAATGGAAGGGATGGAAGTGTTGTGAT